TTCAGATTGCACAGGAGGCATAGGTTTAGTATACCAATTTAAAATGCTTTCTTGTCTTGGAGGTTGTACAAGCGATTTAGTATTATTTGTTTCAATTAATTCTAATTCTTCTGGATTAGATTTGGCTCGCCTACGAGTAGAGATTGTCTCGTCAGAAACTTTTTGAAGATAGTTAGCTTTTTCAGAAGCTGGCCAGCTACTGCATTTTAGGACGTGTTGGTGAAGTCTTTCGGGTTTGCCTTCTTGTTTAACCAAGCAATATTTGCATTTAGCAGTAAACCTATTGCCTGTTTTTTTGTCTATAGAACAATAAAATCCCGTCCATCGATGACCTTGGTTTTGAAGTGGGTGAATAAAACCTGTCAGAGGCTGCATGATTCGTAGTTAATTTATTTGCAATTTGAAAAAAAAAAATGGTATAAACTTATATTTGTAATTATTATTTGATTTTTGATTTTTTTACTTGAAAATTTATGAGATTTAATCTCTTTTTATAACTTTAGATTTATTAGACGGATGATAATTTTCATCGTGCTATTAACGCCTTTTACCACATTTATTATATTCAATAAGAAGTATTTTAAGTATTTTTTTGTGATGAGGCGTCTGATTTAAACTTTTAATAACTATTTCTTTTCTAACTCGAAATTTTTTATAACACAATCAAAGCCTTTTCACCATAATTACTATCTTTAATATGAAGTATTTTTTATTTTATTTATGTCGATGTATTTGATCTAACTTCTAATTATTTCTTTTTTTTTTAATTTTGTTAGAGCATTTTTTTCAATATCAACTCATTAGTTTTACACGCGAGTTTATTGTTCTTTGAACAAGGTCCTGAAAGTTCTGAAGTACGGGCATAATTATTAGCCAAATTGATGCTGCAGACAGTAAATGGCCGAGTGATTAGAATAGCCGCAATAGTGCCTGCGTTTGCAGGAGTAATTCTCTTTTTGGTTACTATTGCATTTAATTTTTAACTTATTATTTAAAGATTTTTCTTTTTTTAGATAATATTATTTTTAACAAAAAGTGATTATGCAATTATTTAAGCCTCTATATGGTTAGTATCTTAACCAGATATAGTATAAGCTATCCAAGAACGTC